TTTGCAGAATAATACCAGATGTTTCTGATCTAAAGATAAAACGAGACAAAATTTCAAGGCAAGACGTGAGCTTCATGAAGAAGGTAATAGAATGAAAAAGTTAACTTTTCTGTCTAGAAAGAAGATAAAGTAACTGAACCTGTTGCTTTGCTTTTCTTTTACAACTGTGTTTTTGCAACAAGTTGCAAAGATCAGTATTGAGTGATTTGAATTCACATTACAGTGATTTGAATGTTGAGGTGCTCTAGATACTTGGGAGGTGGTTCCATGAAATAAAATTTGCATTTATGTCTTCAGTGAAAATTGTTGCATGCGTGAAACTAAGAACAGTGTATATCTAAACCATGATTCTGAAAAGACCTCCCTATACTTAGATGCCTGTGCAGCATTTCATTCGTGCTCAGTAGTAGGTTTTGATTTGTGTGGCTTTTATTTTGCTGGATTTTCAGATTTTTTTCAATTTTAAAATCTTATTTAAAAGCTCTGGTACAGGGTCTTGTGTCTTATGTTTTAAGTAAAGATGTCAGAAAGTTGACTTGGAAGAAAAAATGCACCTCCTTACAAGATTGTTTCTACAGGACATTGTGCCAGTTGACCTCTGAGTGTGTTTGGCTGTAAAAAAAAAAAAAACAGATTTTTTTTTTTTAAAAGATGTTCAGATGGAGTGAAATTACTTCTTTACAGTAAACATGTTTTCTACATGGGAAAAATGCATATAGTTATTAGTGTGCTCTGTCATTCATGACTATAGTTTATCTATGTAGGTATGTTTGTTAAGAAAAAATGCAAATGACTGAAGTCACGCTTGAGAACGTTTTAGAATGTTTATCACTGTTACCTGCCTGTAGAAAATATGTTAAATTTCTCAGAGATATCCCATGCTGCTTTGTTTTTGTTTGCTATTAGCTGTGAAATAAAAAATGTGTGTCTTCAGAGTGCTGATTTAATCTAATATTCTAATTCTAAAAATCAGAAGAATTGCAGTTTAACTTGTCCAGAGGCAAAATACTACATATGTAATAATATGCAAAATAGAGTTGTGCAGGTTTCAAGTAATGTTGCAGGTACTTGTGCTTGATAAGTTGGTACAGTTGGGATTCCTTGCGGTATATTTACACCTGTGTTGATTAATACTGGAATAATACAAATGTAAAGAATACTCCAGCTTTGGCAGTTCTTAGTAATGTATCTTTGTAAAAACTGAATTAAATTTTAATTAATTTAATATCAAGGGTTTAAAACCGTTTGGGTAAGCTATATTTGCTGATTTTGCTAAATTAAAATTTTAATTGTTAAGCTAAATATTTGAATTGTTAACACTCGTCGGAAAAAGAGGGTGGGAGGGGAAAAGAGACTCTTACCAGGTCAAGAAAAGATTATACAGTCTTCTAGAAAAAAAGGTATTAACCCTGTGGAATGAAGTCATTAGATAATTATCTATGTGATACTGTTTCACATGCATATGGTAAAACTGATGTTAATCAGCTAGTTTAGATGTGTATGTTTGCAGCCTACTCTTCCTAGATTGCTTGCATATTCAAAGGAGAGGGGTGAAGCACCTCCAGAAGTCCATTAAGATCTGAATGGCTGTCTGGGCTTGTTTGGTGTTAGATGAGGATCCTAAGGCAATTGTGTATCATACTTAGGAATTTCAGTACCTAAAATTAAGTGGATTTAAACCAGACATAGGCACAAAACTCTCTCCATCTCAGTTCACCTTCTCAAGCCAGCAGGTTTATTTCTGTCCTTTCTGTAAAGGGAAATGTTGAACTTCTTGCATTTTGCAATATTCCTGAAAGATGCTACATGTCGAGAAAATCCACATAATTTATTTTCATATCTAGGTGCAATTCTTTATCAGTGGGATGAAGAATTTCATTACTTTTGTTTTCCAAATACACTGTGTCTTTAAGCAGCTAACCTTTACTGTGCTTATTTCATAGTAGCTTCTGTGCTTTACTGTTAGCTCTGTATCCCTCTTTTCTAAATAAAACATATATTTAAACGACTATAGATCTTATTTTAGAATTAATAAGAAGACTAACATCATCTCTATTATTTCTGAAGTAAGTATGTCCTGCTTGAAAAACAGATATTAAAAATGAGTTTTCTTTCTCCTAAAGCTGAACTAGTACTTGTAGAGGTAAAGCATCAGTCCTTAGACCTTGAAAATGAAGTGTGTCAACTGATACAGACCTGTATCCTCTACAGATTAAGAAAGTTGGGGTGGTACCAAGTCACGTGTTGCATGCAAAATCTGCTTCTTAACCTGCCTTTCTGTATTTTAAATTTTCGTGTTGAAATAATAGTTTCTTTACAAAGATTTGTTTGAGCACACTGTTACGAGGAAAGGAAAGATATTTGTGAAGTTGAGGGTCTTTCATTAGATAACCTATGTACTTCACTAGAGCTAGAGCCTCCCTGTGCACAATGTAAATGAGCCCTACTCATCCTCTGAAACACCCTCTAGAAGAATATTTTCTTGTTTTGCTATTCAAGGAGGCTTGTTTCATGAATGAATTTGATGTCTTCAGAAGAATAACTCTTTAAACTCCTCAGTTACCTGAACTTTCTTGAGAATGTTTCATGATCTGCTTTTTATTTCCTCCTTTTCACAAATGGGCATTTTTTAATGAATATTTAGATAGAAAATGAATGCCAGTGTCTGACACACAGTGCAGTATTCATGTGTGATTGTCTGTGTCATCTTCCCCATCTGTACACTCATACATAAAACAGAGCAGTACTGTATTTATAAAGAAGTTGCTGTGACGGTAGTAATCTAATAGTTTCCTCGATTAATCATGTGCTTGGAATCATTTAGGTCGGAAAAGACCTTCAAGATCATAGAGTCCAACCGTGTCAACAAGTCAGACTTGTTTGTGTATGTGTGTGTATGTATGTATTTTATCCTTTTTTGTTTTTTTTTAATTCTCTATCTAAAATGATCTAACATAGAAGATGGTCATACTTGGAGCAGGGAGTTAATATGCTTTCTAACCTAAATTATTCTGTGATTTTAATATTCCTTTTCTGTTTTTTTCTTTTGTAGCATGGTCAGCAGTTGTACAGACACATCTACTTAGGCTGTAAAGAAGAAGACAATGTCCAAAAAAACTTTGAGCTGCTGTTTACATCTCTAGCTCTTACCACGATTGAACTGGCCAACGAAGAAGTGGTTATTGACCTCATTCGGTTAGCTATTGCTTTGCAGGTATGAGTCTGCATCAGTGTTGGGTTCACTTATTGACAATTCATATTTGTAAATGGAGATGTGGATAACTTTTTTGTTTCCTTATTGGTCCTCAAATTGGAAATCACATCATGCAGTCCTAATTTTAGCAATCCATTAAGGAAGTGCACTTTATACATAACACTTATTAATAGGGAAGCTTCAACTAATGAGATCTGTTGCAAACTTCTACAGCATGTTCTCTTCAGGAAATATAGCAGATGTGGAAATCTGTTGAAACATTTCCTAAAATCACCGATATATTCATTAGCAGATTGACAAAGTATTCTTACAACCTGCAGTCTTGAGTCCATGTTCTGTATAAAATAAATGAATTGTCCTTACCTTGATAGAAAGCTTTTGGTTAATTGATTCACTGGAGGTGTTTGTCAAGCCAGGCTGTTAAATCTTACCTTAGAGTAAAATTCTATCAGTGTGTTGACAGGCTTTGTTCCTTAACATTTCCTTTACAGGATCAAACTTTATTTCGTACTTGCATATAGTCCTCAGTGAAACTGTATAACTTAGTCGGTTTATCTGTGTTGAAATTTAAGCATGCCGAAAATGCACCGCTAGCATGTGCAATGGAAATTTGATGAAATTGTGTCCTGTATTCCCAGTTCACTCTCTGACATTAGTCTTATTCCCTAATGTGCACAGGCGTTGTGAAACATCTGAAATGCAGAGTGCATCTTTAATTTTAAAATATGTCACCAAACCAATGTCTTAGTCATTGTGTGTTTTACGAGAACAAAAGTAATACAATCTAAATAAACATAGAACTGCTAATAAGCATTAAATGATTCCTGTTGTGGTACTATGTCTGTGACTCACAAGAGTGATTTTTATTATTAAACTACTGTTTCTAGTTTTCCTGAAAAAAAGTTATGATCAGCAGGTGATAAGGACAAGAGACAACTGGTCATTAACCACTACTGTCTTTCTGAGAAACAGAAGTTTGAGTTGAGTAGACTTACTTCTCTTCATAGGGATTGAATCCTTCAAGCTCTCTTCACTTCAGATCAATATACACCTAATTCAGGAGTGAGCTGAAAGATTAGGATTTTGAGATGAGATGTATTACATGCTAAGTAATACCAAATAGTCATCATAGGTCAGCTAGTGTTACTACTAATAATTTTGACTTCCATATATTCAGAACAGCCTGTTAGCTGTGGGGAGTGTAATGCTGTCCTTTATATTTCAGGACCTTGCCATCATCAATGAGGATAATCTGCCGATGTTTAATCGTTGTGGTGTCATGGCATTGGTTGCAGCGTATCTAAACTTTCTGAGTCAGATGATCGCAGTTCCTGCCTTTTGTCAGCATGTCAGCAAGGTAACACATATTGAAGTAATTTAAGTCATTTAGAACTGTACACATTCTACTGTAAAATGGGTAAATAACTTCTGTCAAGTAGTTGCTTGTGGTGTTGATCTCCTGTATTTGTGTCCACCAACATTGCTCTTTGTCTTTGGTCTCTGATGGCATTACTTGCTGACTCTTAAAATTATGCACAGAACGTTCTTCTCTCAAGGTGTAGCATTTTTGTTTTATTTATGGTACCATATGTAATGGGCTAAATCCCCGTCTGGTATAAGACTTTACAGCCTCACAGGCTTTGGTAAAACAGTACTGACATGCACAAGACCACGAGAAGCAGATTTTTATTCTAAAGGGTGAGTGCCACAATCTCTGTGTCTGGTTAAAAGAAATTATAAAGGCTACATTTGTGCTGAGGCAGATGTGAGTGAAGAACTGGTAATCTGTTACAGCAGAACCTCTTTAAGCAATTTAGTCACTGGAGAAAATAGCTACGGAACTCCTCTGTTTGTGCTATTTGTCCCTTTCTTTTTTCAGGTCATTGAAACTAGAAGTCTGGAAGCAGCGTATTTTCTACCAGAAACAATTTTCAAAGACAAATGCAAGTAAGTAGATACAGAATGTGAATTAATGAACAGTGTAATGTGCCAGTTTACTATTAAAAATCGCACGTCATTGAAATATGCTGCATATGTGAAAGATAATGTAGAGGTTTAATAGTGTGCAGGATAGGCAGAAGAAAACCAAACATTACTAGCATATATGTATATATGAAAAAATCTGGTTTTCAGACTTTTTTTATTGTAGTCAGAGGCACTTCATCTGCAAAATATGATGATAGTGTAAATGCTAACACAACAAAATGCATTTTCACTGGATCACAGAATGAGTGAGGTTGGAAGGGACCTCTGGAAAGTGTCTAGTCCTACTCCCCTGCTCAAGCACAGGCACCTGGACCAGGCTGTCTAGGACCACATCCTTTGGCTTTGGAATATCTTGAAGGATGGAGACTCCACAACCTCTCTGGGCAACCTGTGCCTGTGCTTGGTCACTGTGACAGTAAAAAAGTGATTCCTGATGTTCAAACAGAACCTCCCATGTTTCAGTTTGTGCCCATTGCTTCTGGTCCTGTCACTGAGCACCACTGAAAGGAGCCTGGCTCTGTTGTCTTTCCACCCTCCGTCCCTTATGGTAGTCGTACACATTGATAAGATCTACCGTCTTTTCTGCATGCTGAACCATCCCAGCTCTCTCAGTCCTTCTTTATTGGAGAGATGCTTCAGTCCATTAATCCACGTTAGTGGCCCTTTGTTGGACGCTCTGCAGTAAGTCCATGTCTCTCTTGTCCTGGGGATCCCAGCACTTGACACAGTGCTCCAGGTGTGGCCTTACTGGTGCTGAGTAAGGGGGAAGAATCTCCTCCCTTGACCTGCTGACAGTACTCCTCCTAATGCAGCCCAGGATACCCTTAGCCTTTTTTGCCACAAGGACACATTGCTGGCAGATGGCAAATACTATTGCTCTGCATTTTTTTCTATTTTACAGAGATCATATTCTCTCAAAATGGGGCCAGAATAGGTGAGGTATGTATTTCAGATAACCAAGAAGTGTTAGGATAATTTAAAATATTACAGAGATGTTTAAAGGACTCCTTTTGGGGTGTATGTTCATTCCTAAAAAAAGGAGCAAGCTTTATTTCCATCAAATCATTGCCTTTGACCCTTTTTGGTTGCTTGCATAGACATTGGAAAAATATTTTACTTAATGAACAAATCTCTGCTGGTAGATAATAACTTCAAATACATATTTTGACAGTCTTCCAAAATCCTTAGAGAAGCATGAAAAAAATTTATTTTTCCTGACAAACAAGATTGCAGAATCATTAGGAGGCAGTGGATACAGTGTGGAAAGATTGTCAGTTCCATATGTACCCCAGGTTACAGGTAAGTGGTGATTATTGGCAAACCTACTAAATACCAGTTATTAAGAATGCTTTCCTGATGTGTTTTGTGCTAATGCAAAGTAATGTGACTACTTGGCAACAAAATGTAATCATAGTATAATTTTGTTCTCTCAAGATGTTTTTCTTTTTCTCCTTAGCTATTGTACTGTTGCTAAGAAGTTTCAACTTTGTCCTTTTAAGATTTTTTTTTTTCCCCTTTAAATTCAGGAGGTGGGGCAGAAAGTTCTTGAACCCACTTCAACTCTTCTTAATGAAGTCTTTGCTTTCAAAAGAATACCTAAGATGATAGTGGTGATTATTAATGTTTTTCTGTATTAATTTGAATTAGCAGGTGAGGAAGGATTATATTAGTCAGCATACTTTATCCTTTTTATGTAAACACTGGATGGAATATACCCCATGCTTTCGCCATCTGACCTTAATGCTGACTTGAGTTATTTGCTTTAGTCAATTTCTCAATGAGTAGATGTTAATTTAATCAAGAATATTAGATTTTTCTGCCTTGGATACCTATGCTAGCTTAGTGTCAGGTAACACAGTGAAAATAAAGTGTGCCTGAGGAAGATTTGTGAGAGTTCATGAACATCCAGGGTGTATGAATAGCGTGCAAATGACTAGCTTAATATGTGCCATTGTGTGTTTTCTGCTTTTAATATTTTTTCAACAGCCAATTGAGCAACTTACTGAAAAACAAATGTTTGAAGCATTTATTTTACTAACTGTGCATGTTTTGTTGCTTTATGTAACTGGTAAGTATTGTAATAGACTAGGGGACATCCCAGTCTGAAGCATGACCTTTTTAGAAATAGAAGTTCCTAGCAGGAAAGTATGATTCCTATGTTCTGTAGCTCATGCATAGGAAGAAACTTAGTACATATGGACAGTGAATGCCAGATCTGTCACACTTGCAGTATGATTCAGAGACATCGCCACCTGCTCTCGAATAAGCTTTTTTGAATAGCTACTATGGGAGGTATATGCTATGTTCCCTAGAAAAGCAGACGTAGTTTTGTCCTATGTGCTGAGACACAGCTGCAGTGTCTGTGTTTTCTGTTGCTGGTTGTCATCTTCTAAAAAGGCAAATGTTGCTCTACTTGACAGATTATTTCTTCTGGCATCCAAAAAAACAGTTAACATTATGTTTTAGTATTGGCAGAAGAGGTAGGTAGCAAGTAAGGAAATATTTTCAATTTTTACTGACTTTGAGTGAATGAATGAGAATAGAATGAGACAGATAGCCTGGTTGGAAATTAATGTTAAGCCTCTTCTAGAAAATGAGATGTGTTTATACCCAGATGACCTTGCTAGGTTTTTATTGGGTACTAGCATAAAAATGCATACCTACACAGGAAGATAAGTAAGTTCTGACAAAGGTAAGCAAGTTTAGCTGCAAGTTTGTGGTTAACTGCCTCTTCAGGTGATGAGAAACAGACGTATTTAATGCTAAATCTTTTGAGTATGTGAATCAGATCGCTGGGGTTTTTTGTGTTGTAGTCTTTTGCAAAGAGCGGTAACCAAAAGTGGTTTCGTGTCTGTTACCATATCTGATAGGGATCATTAATCCCTAATCCTGTGAGAAACTGAGCTTCCAAGGTTTTCATTTAACTAAATCAGTACCAAAGTGAATATTTTGGAATTCTAAAACTTTTCATTTATATGTTTAATTTCTACAATTATGTTATAATGTTAGATTATAATGTTTCAAGATATATCAATAATTTTAGTAAAAGATGAATCCATTTTTTTCTATATTCCTGTAAGAGTTATGGTTAAACCTCAATAAACAATAAAGATTTTATCCTAATTATTTCTAGTATTTCTGAATATTACTGATGTAATGCTTAACAATGACTTATAAACATAAAATCATCATTGTGTCTCTGTTTCAGTTTTTGGTACTTCTTATCAGTTTGAAAGACATTCATATTTGCAAATTTTTCACCTTATTTGGGGTAGGAGGGAAGCTGATAATGTGAATGTACATTTAATAATTTTTTTGTCTCTACGTATGTATTTTTTTGTAACTTAGCTCTATTTCCATCAGGCAAAAAAACTCATAAATGCAGACATAAGTCAAAAGGTAAAAATGAGTTGTAGGTCAGCCTGCTCTTCTGCTAGCTGTTGTGTGTGTGTAGGAGATGCATAGTCAAAAATATGCTTTTAGAAGGCATTTAGACCAGAAATTGTGCTGTACTTAGTGTTTCCTTCTGCTTTTTTTTATCTCCTTGATATATGTGTAGTAATGTTAGCTGCTGCAGGGTTTTCCTTTGTGTTTAGTCTTGATTTGGAACTCTACAAGGTTAGCTTCCTATTTTCTTTTCCTGGGCAGTTGGTAAGGCCATAGGTGTCACTTTTGTGATAGTCTTAGTTACCTCTGAGTGAAATTACAAGAACTTGGTAGAAGTTGGAAGAAGCTCTCAGCTGTTTAGAGAATGACGATTCATTTTACTCAATGGTTGTTCAGCATAAAGGTCACAGAATCACAGAATGATGGGGGTTGGAAGGGACCTCTGGAGATCATCTAGTCCAGCCCCCCTGCCAAAGCAGGGTCACCTAGAGCAGGCTTGCACAGGACCCTGTCCAGGTGGGCTTTGAGTATCTCCAGAGAAGGAGACTCCACAACCTCCCTGGGCAACCTGTTCCAGTGCTCCATTAGTGGAGCATGTATACATGCATATGTTCTCTGTGCATCCCACCAGTAGCTGGGCTTAGGCACTGTCTACCCACAAGGCCCACAGCCGCAGTCCAGCTGCTGGTACAGATCTCTGTTGTGCACAGTAAGGCACACTTGGGTCTCAGTCAACACCCCAGGCTCCATGTTCTTCCTGACAGTTGACCTGGGCCTCCTGGTCCCTCCAGGTGCCTCCCCATCAGAGACACATAGAGAGCCAGATGCACGTGGACACCCCCAGCTCCTGGGCCACTTGACCTGCTCACCTGCTGGTCCAGCTTGATTCTCCCTCGTGATCATGCGCTGATGCTGTGCATCTTTGCTCACTCCAGACACACAGGCCCTCTGACCCGTGATCAGACTCCAGTTGCTGTGCTCAGACCGCCCCCCCCACCCCATGCACACACCTGCACAAAGAAGAGTCCCTCACCCAGGAAAAGAGAAATGGGATTTGATGAGAAGACGGGACAAGCTGCACTGATGAGGCATGGCCAGATGCACATGCTGATCAGCAACCAGTTTACGTGGGACTGATGCCTTTATCCCCTTATCCCTCTATTTTGCTTGCTTACTCCTCCCCAAACCATCTCAGTCCTCCTTTTCACTGCCCTTGGTTCCTCCCCTAAACATCCCATACTAAGCCGTGCGCAATCCCAAGATGCTGCTCCCCTGCATCCCACAATGTGTCCTGCAGCGCAGGCGCTGACGCTGCCTCAGTCAGGGAGGTGACCCAGAGAGCTGCTCCCACTGCCCTGTGGGGTGGGTGCTGCTCCCGGACCATGGGGCTGTGACTCCTGGGACAGCCCTGGCGGGGACCGAGGCAGTGGGCTTTGGGATTGCACCACTGCCCTCGTGCCTCTGGGCGCTCTCATGTGCGTGGAGACAAGCTTTATAGCATAACAGGAAAAACTGCAATTTTCACAATTTTTTACTCACTAATGTGCTGAAATGAGAGACCAACGGGCAGTTTTATTAGGCAAGCACAATGAGGCATCCGTTACAGAAATGATTTCTATCCAAAGTAAAAATACAAAAATGTGTCTTCTGGTGTTTGCATGTCAGTTATGGAGAGAGCAGCAAGGTGGCAGCAAAGATGTAGTTTTGTCTTGCGTCTGGTCTTGGGGGCTAAGGTGCTGTCCTTAGAATCTGTGTATTGGGTTGTGTACCAGTGAGCTGTCAGGGGTTAAAAATTAAGGAAATCCTGCAAAATGCCACTTCAAATGCTCATGGACTCAGAACCTGGCAAAGGTAGCTAGAATTCAGGTGGTTTTCACTAATCTTGTTTTTTCACTGCCTCTTGATCTTAGAATGGCATTTCATTTATATGACTTCTGAAAGTTATTTCTGAAAGTTATTTCATGATTTTTAGAAGCTGAGTGTGTTCAGCTCTGCTGGAATGAACTCTGTTTGTTCATGTTCAATATTTGCAATGCAAAAGCTCTTTGGTAGAAGCGGTTTAAACAAAGGTTGTGGAAGAACCAGCATAAATTACCTTGTGGTGGAGGAGTTTTACGGTCATTCTCCTTATCCTTGTCCTAGTATCAAGTGCCTGTAGGTGCTTCTGTCTATGTGCAGTGCAGATCGTCAAGTCATAATGGCCAGGTCCAAATGGCTTGATCTCACCTAAAATCTAAAATATGACATTGCAATCCATATTTTTGTAAATGAGATGCATGAAAGTCAGGCCCTGAAGGTCTCCATTTGTCAGAGGATACTCATGACACATCTGTAAATGTTTGGGTTTTTTTTTAATCTTACAGTAATATACTGAATGTGGAAAATGATAAAAGATTGTTGGTGTATTGTCTCAGAAATGCAGTCACAAAAGGAAAATCCATCAACTGATGGATCATTTGATCATATCTGCTTAAGCATTAATGAAATTGTTGTGCTCCTTTTAGTAGTAGCACAGTTGGTCTTATTCTGACAACTTTTTAGGCCAGCTGGGCTTGCTACAATGTTTGTAGGAAGTTAGAAATGGAGAAAATTTTTTTCACCAAGTTGATTTTTTGACTTGCTGAATATGGTACTTGTAGCAACAAGAATAAGGAAGGATTGCTGTTTATTTCCATTCAGAAGTCTTTGTTTCTTCTGTTACTGAGTCATCTTCCAAGAAGCCCTTTTCTGTTTTGGAATACCTTCAAATTAAGACCTTAGTATTTCAATTTCACAACCAAAAATATAAGTTCAGGCTTTTGCATATTACTCTGCAGCAATATATCGTCATATACTATGTTATTTATTCTGCATTTGAATAAGATCTCATCTCATTTTTTGAAATTCTGGGCGTTCAAGGGAAAGTTGACAAGATTTGGGATGAGAGGGGGAAGGGACAATAAAGAGGTTATTTTCCTCCATATTTAATAATTTAAAACAGTAACTGATCATTTTTTACAACAATACAAATGATAAACTAGATCTTGGGTTAAAGAGCCATATAGAAACAAATTTGCATCTGATGTGTAGAAATTTGATTGATCGTGTTTCAGCTGTTATACAAAAAAGTGAGATAAGTTGTATTTATTGTAGATGAAGACAGACTCTCCAGGAGGAAGAGCATTGTGGACACGGTATCTATTCAGGTGGATATTCTGCCTGGCAACAACACGGAGGATAAGGTATGAAAATCACAGGATATTTTAAAGCAGCGTCTCCGGGGCGCAGAGGGACTGCAAATGAAGTTTTCCCAGAAAGTCTGTAATGTGTAATTTTTCTAACAATGTTAAATGCTTTAGGGGTTTGATTTTTTTTTTAATTCCTATGTTTGTAGAAATGTGTTGTCAAAGACACGGATGCTCATGTTGCTGTATAAAAATATGAAGTATTTTGTCACTACAGTTTTTAGAGATAGTATAGAATATGGGGTAGCAACACATATATACACCAAACAATTACTATTTTGTGAGTGAATATTCTAAAATATTTTCTCTGCATTTTGAGGGATTAAATTCCTGAATCTGTATCCCTGCATCATTTGAAGTATCTGACTGGCTTGTTTATCAACATGGGGCTGACAGATAGACGACTAGTGGGAGACCTGCTGTCTTTTGAGAGGGGCAGGTAAAGAAAAGGCAGGCTCCTTACAACGCCACGTTACAGTATCACTTCTTCCTTCCAGAAGAGTTTAACGTGCGTGCTTTAAAGACACAAGAAGGATAAGGTAGCAACAAAAAGTTTATATGTAGGGTACAGGAGCTGATGCTAATTATCCCTTCGGAAGACTGCATTATAATTAAAATTATCCCACATCTTTTGACACTTCATTTGAAGTATTGCTTAAAATAAATTTCTGTGTCTACTGAATCTTTTTCAAGATTCTACTGATTTTTATTAACCAGATTTCTGGCTGCGATGGAGATTAGCAGTTGAAATTGAGGTGTTTGTACCTGGAAATGAATCCTACCTTTAGCATCTTCAAGCGCAAACTGGCTAGGGACAGGAAACAGAATGTGTGGACAGAGTCAAGCTGAATATTAGTTAAAAATGCAATATTAAACTATTGCGAAGGAGCAAGCCTCTTTTTAGAACTTACTGACGGAAGTGTTTTGTGTTTTGCATCATTATTATTATTCCTTTCTGCTTTGTGCTGATGATACCTCAGATGATATTTTGTGTTCACTTCTTGCTATTGTGCTTTAGCAAGGATACAGATAAGCTAGATAAAAGTTTAGGAGAAAGAAAAAAAAAAGTGTTTGAAAAATAAGAGAGATTATTCCAATCTTCAGCGTTCTGAAGAAAGTAAATGCTCATAATAGGAAGGGGGGTGTTTGTCACTAGTATCATTTTTTGAAATCATGTATTATGTGTGATTATATGTGACTGAGAATCTCTCTTGAAAGTAGAATTAAATAAGAGAAGTGTCCATTTCAAATTTCAGATTATTATGCTGATATTGTGTTAAGCATTGATAAGTAGACATTTTTTTGAAGGGGATATAGCAGTTGTAGATAAATCAAAATCTTTGTCTGAGTTGTCATGGTTTGGCCCCAGCTGGCAACAAAGAACAGCTCTATCTTCCCTCCTCCCGGTGGGGTTGGGAGGAGAGGAGAATCAGAAGAAAATGGCAAAACTCGTGGGTCTGGATAAGGACAGTTTAACAGAAACAGCAAAGCAAGCAAACAGTAACAACAACAATACAGATAAGAATATACAAAAACAAGGGAATACACAGAGCAACTCTCTGTCACTGCCTGAAGACGAGCGTGCTCCAGAGGAGCGATTAACCTTTCCCCAGCCAGCTCCCCCACTCAGCACCGACCATGACGGCACCCCGTTTTGTTTGGTCAGTTTGGGTCATCCTCCCGGCTGTGTCCCCTCCTGGCTTTTTGTGAAAATTAACCCTGTCATGGCTGAACTCAGGACAGAGTTCTCAGTTTAATGTGGTAGTGTCTAGGATAATGAATTGTGATTTGTCTCTCTTACAACAAGAATTTTATTAATCAGAAAAACATGAAAAAAAGTATTCCTCCTTTAGTTCCTTCACAGTGTTTCTTTACAATGCAAAGGGAAAACCAGTATTTTCCAATTGCCTGAGTGCACCTTGATACCTAAATCATGAACAACTGAAGAACTGGTAGATAGACCAGAATGAACTTCTCAGTCATGGTAAGGCTCCAGTATTATGCTCTTCAATAGGTTAATCATAGCATCACAGAATAATTTAGGTTGGAAAAGACGCTTAAGATCGTTGAGTCCAGCCATTTACCTAGCATTGCCAAGTTCACCACTAAACTATGTCCTCAAGTGCCAGACAGAATCATAGAATCATTTGGGTTAGATGAGACCATAAAGATCTAGTTCCAAACCCAACCCCCCTGCCCTGGGCAGGGACACCTTCCACTAGACCAGGTTCCTCAAAGCCCCATCCAGCCTGGCCTTGAATGCTTCCAGGGAGGGGGCAGCCACAGCTTCTCTGGGCAACCTGTGCCAGGGCCTCACCACCCTCAGAGTAAAGAATTTATTTCTTATATCTGATCTAAATCTCCCCTCTTTCACTTTAAAGCCATTACCCCTTGTCCTGTCACTCCATGACCTTGTAAAAAGTCCCTCTCCAGCTTTCTTGTCGGCCCCCTTCAGATGCTGGAAGGCTTCTCTAAGGTCTCCCCGGAGCCTTCTCTTCTCCAGGCTGAACAGCCCCAACTATCTCAGCCTGTCCTCACAGGAGAGGTGTTCCATCCCCCTGATCATTTTTGTGGCACTCCTCTGGACCCACTCCAACAGCCCCATGTCCTTACTGTGCTAAGGGCTCCAGAGCTGGATGCAGGACTCCAGGTGGGGTCTCACCAGAGCCAAGCAGAGTGGCAGAATCCCCTCCCTTGACCTGCTGACCACGCATCTCTTAGTGCAATCCAGGATGTGGTTGGCTTTCTGGGCTGCGAGCGCACTCTGTTGGCTAACAACTTTGTTGTTAAGCTTCTTGTCAACCAACACCCCAAAGTCCTTCTCCTCGAGGCTGCTCTCAATCCATTGTCACATCTACACGTCTTTTGAATACCTCCAGTGACTCAACCACTTCCCTGGGGCAGCCTCGTCCTTCGGTAACCATGCTCTGTAATTTTTGCTAATCCTTGTTTCCTCATAATGCATGGTTTCGGCCACCTGTAACATAAGATGATACACTGTATGTAACTCAAGGAGGAAAAAAAAGAGAAAAAGTCCATATAAAATCTTGTTCTCTTGCTACGTAGATTAGTAAGTATAACATAATCCATACCTGTCAGCAGAATTAAATTGAAAAATAAAGGAGCATAGGGTTTATGATTGAGAGGATAAACTACCTAATTAATGGAAGTTTTAGGATTAATGATGTATCATTTCTCCACTCTCTGAGGTAGAAGACTGTTTATCTGTAAAATATCTATTATTCTTTACAATACGATTGCAATTCTTCTGTGAGCACAATCAAAGTTTTTTGTTGTGGCAATTCCATTAGCGAATCCTGTTCAGGAAGATGGTTTATTCATTAGTTATCTCTGTTTATAAGATGAAAACACTTATAAAAGCAGCTAGTGCTTCTGGACATTAATAACGAAATATAATGCTGGTTAATATCGGCAGCTACTACAGATGTTAATTAGAAATCTGAAACGCTGCCAGACACAAATAGTATTTACCAAATATGAATCATGTAAAAGGTATTTATTTCAAAACCTGAATACTATTTATCTCTAGCCATATCCACAAATATTTGACATGAAGGGATTTTTGCTGTTTATTTGTTAACCTTTTATATATGTTGAGTTAGAGAATACAAGGCTAATGTAGTAAAATCTGTTGGAAAAGTATCATTTACAGCTCCATATCCTGAAATAACGGTAATGTAAAAAGGAAACAGCTATTTCTACTGTCTTTTCCATTTACAGTAGGTCAAGTCAATGAATTAAAAAACTGAAAGAATTCGGAGTCTTCTGAATTGGGTGAAATAGCTTTTTGCTGCCTTACAGATCTTTCATCTTAAATCATGTTAGACCATTCTAAACACTTAGTGTTTGTAAGGAAACATAAAAGTGCTACTTGTTTACGTGTAGTTAATTTTGAGGGATTAATTAACACAGTTCAAGGCAAGAAACCATGTTATATTCAGGTGAACACTGTTCTGCCATCTCAGCAGTCTCCTGTAATATCGCGGTGGTTTCACTGTATAATATACTTACTGATAGAAACTATAGGTCTATAAAGAACTGAAACACAAAGATCTGTGAGCTGGAGCTTTTCAGAGAGTGTTCATGCCTTGGTAATTTTGCAGCCCCAAGCAATTCCTAATGAAGTACATCTGCAGCAGCAAATGGATATTCATATTGCTAAATGAATACATTTTCTCAGCGCATCAGACATAGCTTATTATGAAGAGGCCTTTAGCTCCAATGTTTGTGACATAAGCACCAAATTATTTGGAGCCCATACTGGTATGAAGTTAGCCTAAAGCAATAACTGTTTTCCACTCTACCCTCCACTGCCACCTCTTATTTTAGTGTCACGTTGCTGGTAACTCATCTCAGGAAGCTGTTGCCATTATTCACAATAGCAGTCTGAGAACCTGTTCTGAGACTTAACATTATAGAAACCCCACAACATATTACCAACTCAAATGAGTGTTCTGCCAATATTCAAGTCCTTTTCCAAAGTGTTGTTGCCATAGAGTGTCTTGAATAGAATTTGGGAAGTTTTCTTTGATCTCATGTGGTAAAAATTTCCTCACTTCTTGCAGTGGCTTAAAAATGTGAATTAGTGGTCTGTTGGCTGTCACAGAAACTCCAGATAAAGCTATTAGATACTTGTAAGGCAGAAAAGCTCTGTGGCCATTTTGGCCTTCTGTATTTATCACATTCCTTATTTTTTAGAAGCTGGTTATATATGATGATTCGTTTTTTGTTTTTTTTCTTTCTGTTTAGATTGATAATACTGAAGAAATCACCTTTGAAGCTTTGAAGAAAGCAATTGGTAAGATTTATTACAATTGTGTTTATGCAGTATAGCTCTAGATTAGTGTGGAATTGCTAGAGAAGAAGGTATTGCCAGAATAACATAATTACAATATTACATTTGTTTCTCTTCAGCTAGTAAATTTATTTAAAACTTCAATTATTTATTTCTAAATTTCTGAAATGATATCTTGATAATTTTAGTGAATTAATTTTCTGAAGCCAATGTGACTGAATGAAAAGCATCTGGAAATGCCTATCATCTGTTAAGTTTGCCCTTACAGGCCAAGCTAGAAATAACGTGAGATTTTCAAATTCCCTTGACTGATTATTTATAAAGCAACTTAGATGTTTTTCACGTGTTAAAACCTTCAGGTCTTCAGTGCGTTCAGAAAATAGGTTGTAAGGTACACATGGTGGTCTTCAAAACCCCTCAGTCTTTTAGTTATTGTGTTGATACACATCTGAATTGTTTAAAAGAATATTTTTGCTGACAAGTGACCCTGTTACTGGAACTCAGAATTATCCAATTTCCTTATTTCATATCATTAATTACTAATTAATACTATCCAGTCTACCAAAGTCCTGTCAAAAAGATGGGTTAGACATTGATGTTTTAAACAAGACACATGACATTTTAAACAATAGGAGGCTGAACTTGCTTTTCGCAAATTCTGATAGGATATCTTGCCCACCTTTCTGCGTGATTTCTGGGAGGGAGGATACACCCTGCTTTTCTCTTGAAGCTGAACTCACATGCAGTGAGTGAGAAGTGCAGTCATGAGTCCAGATAATAAAGCAAAAGGAAGTCTGGATGTGCTTGTAATGAAAGCACATAGTAAGAAAGGGGCAAAACTGGGGTCCTCAAACCAGTTCCCTGACATTGTATCTGCATTTTACTGCAGAAGCAATGACAGACGACAGCTTGCTTGAGTGTGGTTGCATTGCTTCAAATACAGTGCTAGTCTGCTTCTGCAGTGCGCGTTTGAAGGTTTATATCACTTGACAGGCAAAGATTACATTTGTCTTTAATTTTTAAAATTTTTTTTAAGATAACAATGGTCTTGAAGAACAGGAAAAAGAAAAAAGGCGTCTTGTGATTGAGAAGTTCCAAAAAGCGCCATTTGAAGAAATTGCAGCACAATGTGAAACCAAAGTGAGTTTCTGAAAAATGTTATACAGCTTTGAAGATACTACTGTAAGCGTTAATGGGGATGTGCTGGCTAAAGGTGATTTATGTTATCATGTCACTGCTGCTGTTGCTTCTAAAGAAGTTCAGGTTTTTATCTTCAGTTACTGTCTCTACTATTATCAATGTTGGGAGATTGCAGTTATCTAAAGTGTGCTTTTGATTGTTCCTAGACTATTTGAAAAGGAATGAAAATCTCATGTGCTCTTCATCTTAAAGTTTTGCTTGCTATCTTTGAAATCTAGATTCACAGTCCCTTCCTATTTCATCCTGGGATAGCTGGAGCAGTATTTTCCCCATTCTGTATTTTGAATAACAAAGTGTATTTCAGGCTTGTTAAACTCCCATCTGCAGCAGCAAAATTTGCTGTATAATTCTGTGCACTCCAAGACAGGCTCACTCAATCTCACATGCCTCTTCAGGCTCAGAATCCTTGCAGCAGTGAGAAAAGAAATTGAAACAGGAAATGCTGCCTAGATGTGCCATGTGGTGATGTGGAACACACTCACTGCGTATGCCCTAGCACAGTCTTTTTAACTTGGTTCAATAAGCGGTAGTTAATAACTCAATTTTAATTTTTTTTCCTAGGCAAACTTGCTTCATGATAGACTTGCACAGATACTGGAACTCACCATTCGGTAAGGCTTTATGCAAAAAGAGTGTGATGAATGAAAAATGACGTAAAGCAATTGTGACAACTTTCAGATGGTCATGTCATAGTGTTCATAAACACATATAATAAGCAGAAAATAATTAACTGAACGTTGTGGTTTAACCCTGATAGGTGTTTCAGCCCCACACAGCTGCTGGCTCAATGCCCCTCAGTTGGATCGGGAAGAGAATTGGAAGGGTAAAAGTGAGAAAACCCATGGGTTGGGATAAGAACAGTTTAATAGGTAAAGCAAAAGCCGAGCACGCAAGAAAAGCGAAGTAAGAAATTTATTCAGTGCTTCCCATCAGCAGGCAGGTGTTCAGCCACTTCCAGGAAAGTAGGGCTTCATCACGCAGAATGGTTACTTGGGAAGACAAACAGCATAACTCCCAGTGCTCCCCCTTTCCTATTTCTTCCCTTAAAGCTGTTACTGCTGAGCACGACATTGTATGGCATGGGATATCCCTTGGGTCAGTTGGGGTCAGCTGTCCTGGCTGTGTCCCCTCCCAGCTTCTTGTGCACCCCAAGCTTATGCACAGCAGGGCAGCGTGAGAAGCAGAAAAGGCCTTGATCCTGTGTGAGCGCTGCTTAGCAACTCGGCAATAACGAAAACATCCCTGTGTGAGCAACACTGTTTTGGTCACAAATACAGAACAGCACCATACAAGCTAATATAAAGAAAACTATTCCAGCCAAAACCAGTACACTGAAAAAGAGTAGTCTTCCTCTAAAACAGTCACTTTCATTTTCTTCTTGTTATTTTGAATCTTTTAGACAGTGAAGAATATTCAGAAACCACGTCATAATATACTTACAATATTTTGTGTATATCAATAGTATTGAAGAATGATGTTGTTTTCCCATTGCTGTATCTGTTGGAGAAAGTAATTAGATACTGAACACCCAAAATAGTACATGACTTAATTGTAGAGAGTTGTGTGCATCTGTTGTGCAGTATAAATAATAATTGTTAGTAATAAAATGCATTTTCATAGTTCTGTAACATCAGTGAAGTTAATGATGTAGACCAGAGTACAAAAAAAATCCAAAGCATGGTAATTTAATTAGACTTTAGAAATAGGATAGAATACTGATGATTGGGGGGGTAGTTTACTCTAGTTTCTCAACTACCAGTGTATAAAGCTATAAAAAAGAAACCAATCTATATAATTATAAATTATATGTATTGATTATTCTTCTCACGCAGTCCTCCACCTAGTCCCTCAGGAACGATGACCATTACTGCTGGACATGCTCATTACCAATCTGTTCCGGTCTATGAGATGAAGTTTCCAGACCTTTGTGTGTATTAAGTGTCTTCTGAAGTCTGCTGGACATTATTTAGAGTAGAGTACAATAGAAAGAACAAGATGAGTTTTCAAATTTTATTGTTTATTTCATCTAAACTAACCTTAAAATAATGATGGACACGAGCCAATGCAGATTACTCTAGCCAAACTCATGAGGCTGTCTTGTTTTCCTCTGTAATATATTTGAAGTTAGTTTTTTCATATATCACGTTTCTTCATTTTCATGTTTGAGTACATGTAAAAGTCAGATTTAAAACTTGTCTTACCATTTAGATGAATATTTCAGTTACTTTAGGAATCTGTACTTCTGTAAATTCCTTTAATTTGAGGCATTGTAAATGAAGAACTTGTTAAAGCCTTTTCCTTTCTTTTCTTCTTTGATTTTTTCCTCCTCTCCACATCAATTATATGTCTAAATAGAATGCTTTTGGCTTGCTTCATCTCATTAAATGTAACTAGTGGAGCACTACCGTAGCTCCCTTTTATTCATGCTGTCATAGCTGTCAACTTGTTTGTTTTGGATTATATGGAAAAAAACAATACCTTACATGTGTTCAAGTACAGCAAATGAATTAATGGGCACTTGTTAAGTATGTTTTTGATGCATCACATAACATGCTTTTTATATATATATGCCCAGTAGATGTCCTGTGTTTCTTGCTAAAAGTTAACTGCTTTGTGTAAGAGAGGAGAAATGTCCTCTTGAAGCACTGAGTTGTGCAATATTTTTCATGTCTTAAAAAGTGTATGGTTTACTGACTGTACTTTTGAAAATGCAGTAGTATTTTACTGTCTGCTTTAGTATAAATACACGAGAGATATTGAGTATAGCAGAAAATAAACTGAGGGCATTTTAAATGATAAATACAGAAATTACAAATATATTCTGTGAGGTATTTCTCAGTAGTTTGTTACAGCTTTTTAATGATATTTTAGAAATTCAAAGAAAACTGAATGAAACCATTTAAAAACCAAGAATTTATTACATATGTTTTCAAGCAAAAGCATTTTTAGAGATGCATCTCTGTGTTCGTTTTTGTTTCATTTCTCAAACATTTGTGAAAAAAGGAAAATGTGGTCACTCTCATAGGTTTATGTATCTGAGTATACTATTCAAATGTAAATAAAGCAAAACTGATACAGTAAGTCACTGAGCTGTTGATGATAATTGTCGAGGCTGTCTTTATGACTCACTGAATTCTGCAGGCAAAAAGAAACGACAGCTTTAGTTGATGCCAGGAATAGTAAGCTTGAAGTCCCTTAATCTATCTGAATCTGACTGAAGCAGCTGAAACATGAATGAATGTTCTCAAATATCTGTAATAAATGTTAGCCAGCAGTTTAGATAAACAGTGATCAGGCCATGAACAGTGACCTAACTGGAGTTAGCCCTGCTTTGAGCAGGAGCTTGGGTTAGATGACCTTCAGAAGTCCCAGCCTAACTTAATCTGTGATGGCGTAATTCTAAGATCTGAGTGGTTATCAGGCCAGCTGATTTGCTGACTGTTCTGAGCATTTGCAAACCCACTGTAGAACAGATTTTAAGTTTTTTGAACTGTCGTACTCCACTGGACTACTTTTAAAAGCCTGATCTGACACAACATCAGAGAAATATCAGCTACTTAAACCTATGAGATAACATGCTGAGACTTTCAGAAAGCATTCACAAAACTCAAAAGGTAATTGAGACCTTCTTTTCAGTTTAACAGTGCAATCACAGCTGTTAGTGGATGACGAAACAACCCCTTATCTACAGCATTCCGTTGTGATTTTTACTGCTGCAGCGTATCAGCCTGATCAGACCACAGTCTACACATAAATAGGACTCTAGCTTTTAGTTTTCATTTTTGGGGTTTTTTTAAAGGTAAGACTTAATAGTTTTTGGCCTATATAAAGAGTGTAATTTTTTTAAATAGTGAATCTAACCTAGGGATACAATGTAAACCACTTATCCACTCTGTCATTTTTTAAGAGTAACACTGTGTACTTTTGTACAAAAAGAAAATAAGGAGTCTAAGAAATAAAGAATGTACTTCTGTTTGCACTCTTGAGATATGGAGACTGTGCTGTAAATAGAGGATTGTTTCTATGATTGAAATATGTTGCATGAATGCTGCATGGGAAGATAACTAGAATCAACATTTCACTTTCTGTTCTGTTTATGAAGTATTTTTTACTTGCGCTAATAGTAGGTTTCCATGTTTTCAATGCTCAGATGAGCTGTTTGGGAAATGCAGGTGTTGTGTGGGTGTTGTGCAGGGAATGAAGAGCTTGTAACACTCTGTGTGTTCACAGGATATTTGATTTCTTCCTTTCTGGAAATTCAGGGAGTCTGTAAGTTGATAATTGTTTCACTCTGGCCTTTAGACAGCTGGGAGACGGGAGTGACTGTGAAATGTATTGTTTTGGTAGCTATTGCAATATGTAGCTAATGAATGAAGCCAAATGAATTAAGAATGCTGTTGTACAGTATAAAGCTGCTTTGTTTCACTTCTCTCTTTATGTTCTTGAGGCAACTTGCAGAATTTAAAAGCTCCATATGCATACTGGCCCTGCGTAATCTGCAACACATTGAGTACTGTCACAATGTTTATAAATTGGTATCCAGCTGTTTAAATGTATTCCAGCTTTTGCTTTGGGTTCTCTTTCCCATTATGTCATTCTGAAAAAATGTAGCTTTTGGGAGTGGTCACTTTAACTCCTTATTGATTTCAAAAGATAGAGATAGCCTGGTGGCCAAAGCCAGAGTAGGCTGATTTGTCTGTTGTTCTGATGGTCATATATTCTGTACTGTACGTGATGAACCAATTTTGATAAATGTAAGAACACACTGTGCAATCTATATTTAAGCAATAAAATAAACCAAAATTTAAAATTCATCTTTTTTAAGCGGTCAGTTAATTTTTATTGCTCACAATTAACAATTAACATGTTGATGCAATTTTTTGGCATTTAAAGCAGACTTCATTTTACATACTCTGGGGTTTTTTGCAAATGTTATAGCATTGCAGCATTATTAAGCTACTACTTTTATTTATGATTAAACCATTACTGTTACCAAGACCACCAAAAGTTGAGAATGCAGCAATACAAAAATCATTTCCTAATGGCAAATAAACTGCAGGAAGATAAATAAGCTATGCTTTTCAGGCTTGCCTCCCTGGTTAAAGAACATACTGGGTTTGTAATGCCAGTTTCAAGGAATGAAGTTGTCAGTGTGTGAAGATCTGTATTCAGCTCATCCACAAGTAGTGTTTTTCGAACAGTAATGCCATGTAATGGGGCTGGGATTATACTGTTGCTTGTTACTCTGTGTTTTTGGTAGCATTCATTTATTTAAATGATTTTAATAGTGCACCCTGAGAGAAGCAGGAAGAACAATTCTTTTTTTCTATTTTGAGGAAGATGGGACTTTCTCTAGCTCACGAGATCTATTGTAATATATAGAGGATTATATTGTCTTTTCTTCCCTTGTTCCTCTGTTCCTAATTTCTGCAGATGTGAATTAGAACTTTGTGTATTTTTAGGAAATTTTAGAGGGTAGACATCTACTTTCTGTAAGGGCTACTTTCTGGGTATTTGGGGGATTTCTGTCTGGAGTTTTTTGCTGCTTCACACTGTTGTCTTCATCTGAAAGACTTAAATCATTCATTGCTCACAGTTTTAATGACACTGTGATCAAGATGACCGGTACGTCTGAATAGTGCTGGTTTTCAGAGTTCATGTCTTCCTGAATTACATCAAGTTGTTTATGAAATCAGGTTCCTAAATCTTTAATACTTTATCAGCTTACAGACAAAGAATAAGTGCTTAAAAACTTAGAATAAGTAAATTAGTATCTAATAAAGCAGACAGTCTCTTTAGTAATTAGTCGATTAGTTGTTCACTTTGAGGAAACAACTAGGTTTTGGCTAGCTCTGCCTCAGATCTTTGAAAAATACAGTGTAAAGTTTCTGTGAGAATGAGAGGAGAAAGAAAAAAGCTGTGCTAAATGTCTCGTCTTGTTCTGCTTCTCTTTCTTCATTGTTTCAGCACTGATCTCAGAATGAATAAATACGGCTAATCATAGCTGGATTATTTAAGACTTCTCTTTATCAACACAATTCATACAGTAGTAATTACTCTATGGAACAACTTTGATGTTAAATTCTTCCTGAAAGAAGAGATATTGGAAAAATGCCTGAAGGAAGTAATGGCAACATTACCTCAGTAACAGCATATTTATATTGTAATTTCTCTGTTACTTGATGGATTCAAAGGATTCATCTCTGTCTCTGCAATCAGAAAATTCCACATATATCTGAGTGAATATATGCATGTCATATTTTCATAACCATGAAAGTAATACTAATTTCTAATAATTAGCAGAAAGGGATGGGTGTTTTCTTAGGCGTGTATTTTAAATGCAGGCTTCAGAGCAGCAGCACTGCTGTTGTCAGTTGGAGAAATGAGCTTCTGTTATTATTAAGCAGGTTTCAGGAATGCACTAAATTCGCTTGTTTAATGGCTATTTCTTCATGTTTCAGCTAATTAGCTATCTGACCTTTTCCTTATCATTTTTATTTATAAATGCTGTGAAATAGAAAATAGTTTTCATCACTATGATAAAAGGCTGATAAAAATTCCAATTCTGAAGGAAGTAAACATGCCAGCGTAATGCAGATCTCATCCTCAGCACTGGACAAAAATGGACATTTTGCAGATTTGTAGCATTCTGTACCAAAATGCACTATATAACAGAGGGGAGGAGGGGATAAAGTTAATTAAAATCTTGTATGCAAATGGAATTTCTCACATCACTTAGCTGTCCTCTCTGCCTTCCCGTAAAGAAAAAGTCTTTACGTTCTCTTTTTTTTTTTCACTAGTGCTAATGGTGTAGCCACATAAGCAGTGAGATTTATGTGGCTAAATAACTTTAAGCTTTGGTTTTTATTTTGGATTTTTTGGTGGGTTTGTTTTTTTTTCCCTGCACTGCCCTAATCCTATCCAGTTTTAGTGTAGGAAAAACACTGAAGGGGGGATACCACCAGCCAGAGGTTTATAGATTATTAACTGTTTGTCCAGGAGCATTCACTGGCATTTTCACCTGTTGTTCTCACAACATTCAGTTTGCACATGGAAATCAAATGGTCTGGTTTAGTTGACTGCTTCATGACCTGGAAGAACAGGCAGCGTTTCTGTATCCAGCATTAGGTTATATATAGTCATTGATCTGTAATGAATACTTTCGTGACAAAATTCAGCCCTGTAGAACAGGATTACAGAGAAGAAATGCAGACCTTTCTTTCAGGGCAGCTGAATCACTAGAAAGTTTGTAGCAGTGTTTTTTGTTCTAAGAAATGTTAGTGAATCGTAGAATCGTAGAATGGTTTGGGTTCAAAGAGACCTTTAAAGGTCATCTAGACCAACCCTCCTGCAATGAGTAGGGACATCTTCAAGTAGACCAGCTTCTCTGGGCAATCTGCTCCTGTGTTTCACCACCCTCGTGGTAAAAAATGTCTTCCTTACATCCAGTCTAAATCTACCCTCCCTTAGTTTAAAATCATTACTCCTTGTCCTATCACAACAGGCCTTGCTAAAAAGATTGTCCCCATCATCCCATTTTAAGTCTGGAGAACAGCAGCAACTGTCTCAGCCTTTCCTCATAGGAGAGGTGCTCCAGCCCTCTCAACATCTTTATGGCCTCCTCTGGCCCCGCTCCAACAGTTCCATATCCTTCCTGTGGAGAGGACTCCAGAGTGGACACAGGACTCCAGGTGGGGTCTCACCAGAGCAGAGTAGAGGGGCAGAATCACCTTTCTCACCCTGTTGGCCACGCTTCTCTTGATGCAGCCAAGGATACGGTTGGCCGCCGGGGCTGTGAACGCACACTGCTGGGTCATGTCCGGCTTTTCATCCACCAATACCACCAAGTCCTCCTTGGCAGGGCTGCTCTCAATCCCTACATTCCCCAGCCAATATTGACACTGGGGATTGCCCCAACCCGGGTGCAGGACGCTGCACTTGGCCATGTTGAACCTCCTGAGGTTCACACTGGACCACTTCTCAAGATTTCATTTAGAAGGCATCTAGTCCAACTGCGTGACCGATTCAAGGCTGACTAAAAGTTGCAGCATGTTATTAAGGGCATTGCACAAATGGCTCTTAAACACTGACAGTCTTGGGGCATCGACCTCTTCTCTGGGAACCCTGTTCAAGTGTTTGACCACCCTCTGAACCTTCCCTGGTGCAGCTTTGAACCATTCCTGTGTGTTCTATCACTGGATACCAGGGAGAAGAGCTCAGCACCTCCCTCTCCACTTCCAGTCCTCAGGAAGCTGTAGAGAGCAATGAGGTCTCCCCTCAGCCTCCTTTTCTCCAAACTAGACAAACCCAGACTCCTTAGAAGCTCCTCACAGGACATGCCTTCCAGCCCTGCCACCAGCTTTGTTGCCCTCCTCTGGAAGCATTCAAGGACCTTCACATCCTTCTTAAATTGTAGGGCCCAGAACTGGACACAGCACTCAAGGTGAGGCCACACCAACGCTGAATAGAAGCCAACAGGGAAACTCAAATGAGTTAAGGGGTGTTCCTCTAAGAAGGTGACACGGCCATCAGCCCAGCTGAAGTGCCTCTACACCACTGCACACAGCATGTGCAACAAGCAGGAGGAGTTGGAAGCCACCATGCTCCTAGAAAGCTATGACCTTGTTGCCATCACTGAAACTTGGTGGGATGAATTCCGTAACTGGAGTGCAGCCATCGATGGCTACAGGCTGTTCAGAAGGGACAGGTGAGGAGGGAGGGGTGGAGGGATTGCCCTCTACATCAAGAAATCCATACAGCGTGAGAAGCTGTCCCTGAAGAATAGCCACAAGCAGGTCAAAAGCTTATGGGTAAGAATCAGAGACCAGGGCAACAAAGGGAACCTTGTGACTGGTGTCTAGTAGAGGGAGCCTGCTGCCGAAGCCTTCTTCCTCCAGCTCCAGGAGGCTTCACACTCGCAGGCTCTCATCCTGCTGGGGGACTTTAACCACCCAGGTCATCTCTCGCCAGAGCTGCCAGCTCCTGGTGGGTCTCTCTGCTGCCCTGGGTTCCCCTGCCTCAGGACACCCCACTGTGCACTGAAATCTGCCACTCCGCCACGGGCCGGGCCAGCTCCAGAGCAGCTCCCTTCAGTGACTGACTACCAGCGTCAGCTACAAGGTGTTTACATCTTTTGTTCTAAGAGAGGGTTAAAAACCAAGGGAAATTTGGAGTATTATTAACAAAAATATTTTGTAGAATGTTTATTTTGCTTTTTCGTATTTTTTTCCAGTTAACAGTAACAAATAGAAGCATGCCTTTGTTAAGCCAACTGAAGCATAAAGTGTCAGAATTCTTGGAGACCTTTGTAGTTCCCAGAGAAAGTGAGAGAGGTATGACTTGATCCCCAGATCAATTATTAATCTGTTTCTGGATGTTCAGGATCACACAAACAAACCTGACTCTTGACTCTATCACTTGAAGTGGAACTTCTGAAGGACAATGTGTGAAGTGGGTAATCTTTGACACCAGTGTTGGAGTTTTTTTTGACCTACTGTAGGTTTGCAAGCTCCAAGTGGTACAACTCAGAATGCAAGTGTCTCAGGTAATGTGATACTTGAGCTTTTGCATTCTGTCATGGTTAACATCAGAAGACACCTCAAGTGGAGAGTAAAGCCACCTTGTTTTGGTTTCTGGTTCTAGTTTCTGAGATGCCTGGGAAGCTATGCTGAAACGCAGTGCAGAACTGAACCCAAACTCTGAACTCGGAGGTGGTGGTGATGGGCGTTGTGGTCTGTTTCTCTCAGCACTGGGGAAGCTGCTGGTGAGAGTTAGGTGCTGTTACTGCTTCCGAGGGAGTGAAATACGGTACTAGGAGTCAGGGATGCAGTTGAAGAGAATAAGACGAAGCAACGCCAGTATGATTCAACTGAAGAGTGGGAATCACTAATCTAACCTTTAAAAGATCTCAGGAGTGATGCAAACACAGCATGAAGTCAGTTGCAGCAGGTCAGCAGATGAATGGTCAGTCAAGTTAAAATGATATGATTGCTTTTGCTCGAGAAGTCAAACCTTCACTCCTACAATTGGGTGTTCTTACGAAGGAAGTACCTGATTGGTATGGTTTTGATTTTGCAAATGCATGCGCAGCGAAAGTGTGGAACTATCAGTAATCCCGTTGAGTAAGATGTTGCATGCTGTGTTGGGCAGGTCACCTTCTGAGGTGAAGCAGATTTGCACTGTTGTGTGATATACACCTGAAATCTAATGAGAAAAACATATAAAGATTATACCTTCGCATGCATCTTTCCTATCAAAGTGACAATCTTATTAGTAATTTTGACCCTAGCTCATTATTTTTTTGTTGTTGTTTAGCTTTGTTATTAGTAGTTGTGTTCTAGCATTTTTATTTCTCGTGGCAATGTTTTATGATCAATGCGTAGTCTGAATTAGCACCTTATCAAGTAAAATGATGTACATATCCTTTTATACTGCTGCTGTCTGATAACTCGTGATAACTGGTGAACCTTGTGAGTGGTGAATTTGGAAAAAAAAAGAAGAAAAACTTGGGTTTGGCAAAAATGCAAAAAGCATTGTTCTAGCTTTACATTACATACTACAGAATACGTTAACTTTAGTTGATTCCAGGCAGCAGAACCTTTACATTTGTTCCCTTTAGTATCCTGAAATCTCTCATAACTGGAGATGACCGTGCATAATATACAGCTATGGGGCAATGAATGTGTCTGTTACTGTCATGGTCTGGCTGACCAGCAGAAACTCCGTGGGCTGAAGATTGCAGTTAGATAGAAAGGGAAGAAGGAGCTGATTTTCGTGTAATTACCTTAGCTTTTCATTTGGGTGTTTTGTGCTAAGCACAGTAAAGGAAGAATAGCTGCAAAAGGAGCTGGAGTAGTTGCAGATTAATTTAATTAAAAACCTGAAATACTGAGCCACCATCAGCAAGATCCAGTCTGAACCAACTACACAGTTAACAAAAATCAGTCTTTGATCAGAACAGTTTTTATGAAGAAATCAAATGAAATTGTACAGAATACAGTCAAACAATTATTTAAGGTGGCATCGGACCTAAATAGATGGTCCATAGTGCCAACTTCTCTATAGTAAGGAGTTACACAGCCTAACAATTAATGTCTAGTCTATGATTACATCATTTGTGTGCTGGAAAGTGTAAGGCAGCCTGTAGCGTGAGAAGAGTAAAGTACACAGTGGCTGACTGTGAAAGACTCCGTGCCGTTTCTCAGGCGCGTGGTGGTGGTTGGTTATCTGCCTTCACGTTGCGTGGTTCTGCTGTTTCCAACGGGAAGGCGGATCTCTCTTTGCTCTTCTTAAAACGCTTCGCATTGGATCTTCCTCCTCACTGCTCTCCTCGGAGCTGGAGATCCTGGTGCCCATTTCTGTGCCGGGTGAAGGCCTTTCAGAAGAGCCCCTTTGACAGAACACTTCCTCCTCTTGGCACTCTTGCCAGTGTGGAAACCTAAGGCTTTCATTGAAGAAGGCAGAAGCCATGCACTCGGCTGCTGTCTTATCACAAGCACACAGTAGTTTCTCACACATGCTCCAACCAATACCTTAAAAAAAAGTTCAGGAATTAATGTTTGAAAGCAGTTACAATTAGTCAATATGTAATTTGCCATGGGTAGATAAGCTTTTGAAAGTAAGTATTTCAAATCTGCCTTGAATTTTAGTCTCCAAATTCACCTTTAATCATCAAAATATAAGCCTGACACCAAGGAACTGGGCAGTTGAAGGTCTGACTGGCTTTGGTTGAATTTGTGAACGTAAAGACACTAAATTTTGACTTCCGTCTCCAGTCATAAAATATCTGAATGTAGCTTTCTCAGCCTGACCTGGTCATATCATACACAGTGGTGTAATAAGCTTTGTCTCAACTAAGAAAAAAGCTCGGGTTTATAGTAAAGCATTGCCAACATTTCGTAACCTGAATTTTTCTATCTGTGTACTCAGCTCTAGCAGCTCACAGGCATGGTGGCATTCAGCTGGTAATGCTTTGATACCCTGTCATCAGGATATATAAAGTTTCCTTTAATCCAAACTTACATTTTGGCTTATGATCAAAACATACGACTTCAGATCTTGAGCTTCTTTCTGCATTACATCCAAGTTTCTTAACTTGTTCCATACAACAGTGATGAGAGAAGCAGCACCTGAAATAAACAGTAGGTGCAACTGAAAAATGCTTACTCTTCCCGCATCACAGAGCACTTGTAATTATTTTATCTATTTATTTTCAATGCTCACTAAAACTGGGAAATTCATTTTTCATATCATGGAAAAATCTTTTCCATAAGGAAGGAAAAAAATATCTGTTCCTACTCTCCTTCTGTACCTCACAGCTTCCTTCCTTATTCCGTAAGTATCGTTTGCTTAACAGTGCCGTAGTTTTTTGGTGGGTTTTGTTTTCGTTTTAAGATATATAATTATAATCGTAACTATGACCTAATCCTCTGTGAGAAGTGTCTTCAAGTTGTCAAATATTGTTAACTGAAAATCTGAAAACTGCATCCTGATAGCCAGAGCCTTGACTTGCCTTCACATAGTCTGCTTCATCATCCTCAGGCAGTCTTGTTTGTGTGCAGGTGGAGGAAAATTGTGTGTGCTCTGTACCAAGTGCTAAACTTAGACCTGGTGTGGCCTCAGCTGCTAGGGACTTCCACACAAGGAGAGGTTTTTAATTGTAAATGCAGCACTCATTTTTGAATGAGACTTCTTTGCTTTGGATGAATTCCCTGCATTATTCTAGAATTACTCCTTGTTGTCAGTTGTACCACGGCAGCACACAGTTGGCTGCGGCAGGTCTCTCTCG